AGCCTCCCGGTCTCCTCGGAGACCAGAGAACCTCCCCCAAATTTTCTCCCAGGCCACCTGAACACCCGATCGCATCCCCGGACACTCCCCACACTCCCTTAGGGGCGGGGCCTCCCCTGGATTACACCCCCCCAGTCAGGGGATTCCGAGATCTCCTCGGACCCCTCAGTGCGCGGGGCCTGCCCCATCTCCACTTGTCGTAAAGAGGACCCCGAGATATCCTGGGGGCCCCTCAGAAAACAGGTCCGCCCCAAACTGCACTCGTCGCTCAGAGGCACCCCGAACTGCCCTGGGAACTCCTTGGTGGGCAGGGCCCGCCCTAGCCTCCACCTCTCGCACGGGGGATTCCCCGAAACCCCATGGGGACTCCTTAGAGGCCGGGGCCCCCCCCAGTGTGCACCCCTCGCCCGGGGCTCCCTGAAACCTCTTGGGGACTCCTCAGAGGCCGGAGACCCGCCCCAGTGTTCACTCCTCGCTCAGAGGGCCCCCGAAACCCCCGGGAACTCCCTCGGTGGGCAGGGCCCGCCCCAGCTTCCACCCCTCGCACAGGGGGTCCCCAAAACCGCTGGGGATTCCCGGGGAACCCCCTCAGAGGCCAGGCCCCGCCCCAGCGTGCATCCCTAGTCCCGGGGCCCCCGAGACCCCCTGGGAACCCCTCAGAGGCGGGGGGCCCGCCGCAGTGTGCACCCCTAGCCTGGGCCACCCGAAACTCCTTGGGGACCCCCTAGATGGACCCTTCGGGGGGCAGGACCCGCCCGAGCGTGCACCTCTCGCACCGGAGGGGGGTCCCCGACCCCCCCGGGGCCCCCCGCAGCGCGCACCCCATCCTCAGGGGCCCCCCGGGACCCCCCGGGGGGCGGGGCCGGCGCCCGTCTCCGCCCCTCGCCCGGGCCCCCCGGGACCCCCGCCCGGGGCCCGCGCCCACCTCGCGCGTGGTCACCTCCTCCTTCTCGGAGATCTTGAGCAGCAGCCGGTCGTTCTCGAGCTCGAGCGCGCGGACGCGGTCGATGTAGTGCGCCAGGCGGTCGTTGAGCTCGCGCAGCTCCTCCTTCTCCTGCAGCCGCGACAGGCGCGTGGGCGACAGCGGCGTGGCGGGCCCGCCCGCGCGGCCG